ACCAGTCAATGCCGATGTTTCCAACACTACATTGATCGTCAACCAGTCAATGCCGATGTTTCCAACACTACATTGATCGTCAACCAGTCAATGCTGATGTTTCCAACACTACATTGATCGTCAACCAGTCAATGCTGATGTTTCCAACACTACATTGATCGTCACCCAGTCAATGCTGATGTTTCCAACACTACATTGATCGCCACCCAGTCAATGCTGATGTTTCCAACACTACATTGATCGCCACCCAGTCAATGCTGATGTTTCCAACACTACATTGATCGTCAACCAGTCAATGCTGATGTTTCCAACACTACATTGATCGCCACCCAGTCAATGCTGATGTTTCCAACACTACATTGATCGCCACCCAGTCAATGCTGATGTTTCCAACACTACATTGATCAACACCCAGTCAATGCTGATGTTTCCAACACTACATTGATCGCCACCCAGTCAATGCTGATGTTTCCAACACTACATTGATCGTCAACCAGTCAATGCCGATGTTTCCAACACTACATTGATCGTCAACCAGTCAATGCCGATGTTTCCAACACTACATTGATCGTCAACCAGTCAATGCCGATGTTTCCAACACTACATTGATCGTCAACCAGTCAATGCTGATGTTTCCAACACTACATTGATCGTCAACCAGTCAATGCCGATGTTTCCAACACTACATTGATCGTCAACCAGTCAATGCCGATGTTTCCAACACTACATTGATCGTCACCCAGTCAATGCCGATGTTTCCAACACTACATTGATCGTCACCCAGTCAATGCCGATGTTTTCAACACTACATTGATCGTCAACCAGTCAATGCTGATGTTTCCAACACTACATTGATCGTCACCCAGTCAATGCCGATGTTTCCAACACTACATTGATCGTCAACCAGTCAATGCTGATGTTTCCAACACTACATTGATCGTCAACCAGTCAATGCTGATGTTTCCAACACTACATTGATCGTCAACCAGTCAATGCCGATGTTTCCAACACTACATTGATCGTCAACCAGTCAATGCCGATGTTTCCAACACTACATTGATCGTCAACCAGTCAATGCTGATGTTTCCAACACTACATTGATCGTCAACCAGTCAATGCCGATGTTTCCAACACTACATTGATCGTCAACCAGTCAATGCCGATGTTTCCAACACTACATTGATCGTCAACCAGTCAATGCTGATGTTTCCAACACTACATTGATCGTCAACCAGTCAATGCCGATGTTTCCAACACTACATTGATCGTCAACCAGTCAATGCCGATGTTTCCAACACTACATTGATCGTCAACCAGTCAATGCCGATGTTTCCAACACTACATTGATCGTCAGTCAACCAGTCAATGCCGATGTTTCCAACACTACATTGATCGTCAACCAGTCAATGCTGATGTTTCCAACACTACATTGATCGTCAACCAGTCAATGCCGATGTTTCCAACACTACATTGATCGTCACCCAGTCAATGCCGATGTTTCCAACACTACATTGATCGTCACCCAGTCAATGCCGATGTTTCCAACACTACATTGATCGTCAACCAGTCAATGCTGATGTTTCCAACACTACATTGATCGTCACCCAGTCAATGCCGATGTTTCCAACACTACATTGATCGTCAACCAGTCAATGCTGATGTTTCCAACACTACATTGATCGTCAACCAGTCAATGCCGATGTTTCCAACACTACATTGATCGTCACCCAGTCAATGCTGATGTTTCCAACACTACATTGATCGTCACCCAGTCAATGCTGATGTTTCCAACACTACATTGATCGTCAACCAGTCAATGCTGGTGTTTCCAACACTACATTGATCGCCACACAGTCAATGCTGGTGTTTCCAACATAATATTTATTGATCACTCAGGCAATGTCTGTGTCAAATAAGATAAGAGAGACAATTTCCAAGTGCTAATTTAAAATTGAAAAGGACATCAACAACAACTCCAACAAAAAAATAAAAAAAAAATAAAAAAATTCCTGTATGTTAAATAGAATTGTTAAATGCACAAGACCAATAGGAATAAACGTTACTGGCTCGTAAACTAAAGTATGTAGTGGAAACTAAAATGCCTTGGTAACATTCAACTATAGAACAACAAAAACAAAAAAAAAAAAGTGATAAAAGACAGACATGTGGTGTAGAGGCTCGTAAAATCGCTTCACAATGCAATCCTCGAGATTACCAGGGTTCGATTCCTGTTTTAGGGACAGTTCTCGTGTCTTTTAGACAGATGTACGTGAGTCACATCGTGCAGGTGTTGAAACATCACAGCACCATAGTCTCTCAATTAGAGGTAGATACATTTCGTCAACTTCAGATGTGATGAGGGCAAAATGTTATTAAAGAGACATTGAGGAAGTGGAGGCATAGCTCAAATGAGACAGGGGCTTTTATGGGAGATAGAGGGACAATTTTTGTATACCAGTGTGGATCAGTGATAACAGCAGATTACTTAGAAAATTTGTGAACGCTGAAAGTATTTTAAAAAGGTAATATGAGAACAAATTGGCTATAGATGACGATGTTCGCTTCTGACTCAGAGGGTTGTCCTCTTCTTCGGCTTCTTCTCTAGTACTTTATGCGTCAGGTTCTGAAGAGGCATCGGATGCAAGCCTTGGTATGTGCTATGTAGAGGCTAGTATTCATGGTACTTCACATTCTAACTCTTTATCGCTTGTATGGTCGACCTGAAGTTCGGCTTACGTTGTGACTAAGTGACTTGGGCTCTCTGTAGTGCACTATCTGAGACATGTCTGTTGGATTTACAAGGTACTGATTCAAAATCCAAAGCAAGAAAAGGAAATTTTACATAGACCTTGTTTCTGTTGCTATCTCACGCCTGTCTGATCTTTTTGGTAATGAATTTGGACACCTACTATGCTCGGGTACAAGAGCGAATCAAGAGAGCCAAGAATGTATTCCATATTAAATGTGTGTTATCTGCAGAATCTGTAGCCACCTGCCAAATGCTTCGAAACGAAACACGAACTTTTTAGCTTTATTGAAAGTTCACCAGGGATCTCAAATACTACACTCGTAAACCGAACGACGTGTTTGCGAAACGTACACATAGGCTTCAGACCGCAAGGCTAACGACTTGACCATTGCCACTAAGACCCCAGAAGGAAAAAAAAAACACACACCAAAAATCGCTCGTTACTATGATGATAATCTGTCTAGAGGTCGCCTATCTGAAACAAATGTGAAAATCAAAATAAAGTAAATACATACCACTTAATATCCAGGTTTGTAGGAGTCTGAGAACATCTTCATGAGAGGCAATGAACCAACAGTCTGCTTACAAATAAACCAGAACTGTAAAACTAATGTGCATGCAAAGCTCAGGCTCTTGAAAAGACTGGAATTCAGAAGGTGACGAACAACCAGAACCGAAATTCTGTCGGAGTTTACAGCCGGTGAACGCGAAGAAGAAAAACGAAGATAAAGAGAGAGAGAGAGAGAGAGACAAATTAGCCACCCTACACCGGAAGAATAACATAAGTAAGTGTTTGTTGTGTAACAGCTGTTGTGTGTATTATTTAGGTTTACACTGTTATATATATATATTTTGTTTTGCGTGTTC